AAAAAAATTGATAAAGAGCATTGTTGGTGAAACCAACAGAAGGCATTCTCACATGGGTTCAATTGGAACATGCATTACCCAAAGGTAGTCGCTTTAGTGTGCTTAATAAACAGAAAATATTTGGATATTCTTTAGGTAAGAATGACTAATAGATTAAATAGCAGTAGTAAAATTAAGTGTTGAAATAATTTGAGGCCATTTTTCAGTCTTCTGATCTAGTCATCAAGCTTTTATTAAATCCCTAATACATGTGAGTAGTCATACTTTTTGCTAGGCCAATAGCAAAATATAGTCCCTTATTAGGGATGATAGTATCTACCTAACTAGTATATATTGAGATACTTAATTTTTCTACTGACATTGTTTTTTTTAAACCATGAGCGTAATATAATGCATCATTATTTTTAAAAGTTGGAGACTAAATAAATAAAAATTACCCATAATTGTCCAATACAAAGATAATATTTAACATTTTTGCTTACATTTTTCCCTTTGTTTCACTACATAAATATACTTCAAAAAAGTAAAATACGCCCGGCTGGTGTTGCGCAGTGATTGAGTGTTGACCCATGCACCAGGAGGTTGCAGGTTTGATTCCCAGTCAGGGCACATGCCCAGGTTTCAGGCTTGAACCAAGAAAGGGGCGTGCAGGGCAGCAATTGATGTTTTAATGTTTCTATGTTTCTATCTCTCACTCTCAAATCAGTAAAAACATATTTTTAAAATCCTATATAATCAAGATGTAATATGCAAATTGACCATCACATCCTCACACAAGATGGCCGCCCCCATGTGGTTATAAGATGGCCACCCCCATGTTATCACAAGATGGCCACCACAAGATGGCCCGCAGGGGAGGGCAGTTGGGGGAGATTGGGCTGGCAGGGGAGCAGTTAGGTGTCAATCAGGCTGGCAGGGGAGTGGTTAGGGGGTGGTCAGGCTGGCAGGCAGAAGCAGTTAGGGGCAACCAGGCAGGCAGGCAGGCAAGCGGTTGGGAGCCAGCAGTCCTGGATTGTGAGAGGGATCCCAGATTGGAGAGGGTGCAGGCTGGGCTGAGGGACACCCCCTCCTCAGTGCACGAATTTCATGCACCGGGCCTCCAGTAAGAAAATAAAAAGAAATAGTATTTATTATGCATGCTAGTTGTAACTTACTTTTTTTCATTGAATATCATGATTGTTTTTGCCATATCATTAGATACTCTGATTTAATGGATGCATATTATTTTATTATCTGGCTTGTCATAATTTAATTAACTCCCTACTGTTGAACATAATCATTGTTTCTGTTTGTTTCCTATTTTAACCCTTTGCGGTCCAATTTTATTCTTGGAATTCAAACAGTCTGGTCCAAAGTAATTGACAGGATTGAATGTTGAACTGGTTTTTGGTGTTGACCTCAGCCTCGATGTTGGACCTGCTCCTAGTGCCTGGTCTGTCACGTCAGCCTCCACGTTGGACCAAAAAGGGTTAAATAATGCTGTTATTAACAATCTGGTGGATACCTCTTCTTTTTTAAAAGATTTTATTTTTTACAGCAGTTTTAGGTTCATAGCAAAATTGAGCAGAAGAGATATCCTATGTCCCCACACATTATCACCACTTTTTACTAGAGTGATATTTGTTACAATTGATATACTTACATTAACACATCATCACCCAGAGTCCATAGTTTAAATTAAATTTATTTTTGGAGTTGTATACCCTATGGGGTTTGACAAATGTAGAATGGCATGTATCTACCATTATAGTATCATACAGAATAGTTTCACTGCCCTAAAAATCCTATTTATTCCCTTTTTCCTCCCTACCCTTGATAAACACTGATTTTTTTTGTTGTCTCCGTAGTCTTGCCTTTCTATAATGTTTATGTTGGACTCATGGTATGTAGCATTTCAGATTGGCTTCTTTCACTTAGTAATATGCATTTAAGGTTCCTCTATATGTTTTGAAGGCTTGATAACTCATTTCTTTTTAGTGCTGAGTAATAATTCCATTGTATGGATGTACCATCATTTGTTTATCAATTCATCTACTGAGGACATTTTGGGTTGTATCCAAATTTGGTACTTGTGAATAAAGCTGCTATTAATATCCATGTTCAGATTTTTGGACATAAGTTTTCAATTTCTTTGATACTTGTGAATAAAGCTGCTATTAATATCCATGTTCAGTTTTTTGGACATAAGTTTTCAATTTCTTTGAGTAAATGCTAAGGAGCATGATTGCTGGATTATATGGTAAGAGTATGTTTAGTTTTGTAAGGAACTGTCAGACTGTCTTACAAAGTGGCTGGCCCATTTTTTATTCATTCATACCAGCAATGATTGAGAGTTCCTGTTGCTTCACATCGTCATCAGTCAGTATTTAGTGTTGTA